GGATTGGTTGTCTTCAAAAATAGTGAAAATAGATTTTGCAAAACCAAAATCACTTAATAACCCTGATAACCATAATCCTTCTTTCACTGCTTCGGATAGCGCAATATATTCTGCTTCTGTCGACGAAGTTGCTACGACACTTTGCTTTCTCGTGTTCCAACTTATTGATGCTCCGAAAACTGTAAACATGTACCCGCTGGTGGATTTTCTGTCCGAAATATCACCAGCCCAATCCGAGTCTGAATCACCAACCAATAATAAATTATTTTGTTTGGTAAAGAAAAGTTCATAATTGATGGTGTGCTTGAGATATCGTAGAATTCTCATTAACATTTTCCACAATTGTTCATTTGCTTTATCTTGATATCGGCTACAATAGTTAAGAACGTAACTTAAATCGGGATGCGAATTAATCATTAGATGCATTATACAACCAACTAACTCACGAACTGGTTTATCACTTGCATTAATTTCATTAGTAAATTGTAGATTAGCATTGGTTTCAATTGGGGTTGTACATCCTTTGCACTCGTTCATATTAAAGCGATCTAAAAGTTTTTGAATATAATTTTTCTGATTTAAATACATTTCACTCGGTGTTCTTCTAATGTTAATGCCTAAAAAGGTTGTGGGGTTATCCATTAGCTGCATGTCAAATTTATTCATTAATTTATCCTGTAAATCGTTTATTTCGTGTACATCATTTCCTGCAATTATAGTGTCATCCACGTAAATAAGTAAATAAAGATATGTGTCTTGATCATGTTGACATGTTTAGTATATAAACAGGGATCGTATGATGATCTGCATAAGTTTTCCCCTTTTATAAAGTCGTTAAATGTCTGATTCCAACAAAAAGATGCCTGCTTTAACCCATATATTGCTTTGTTAAGCTTTAGCACTTTTCCACTATCGCTGGTCTGCTCGTAATTTGATAAGCCTTTTGGTTTTTCCATGTATATGTTTTCTTCTAGGTTGCCATTAAGAAAGGCGCATTTAACATCCATTTGTCTCAGAATAAACTCTTTATGATTTGCGATTGCTAAAAGTGTTCGCAATGTAACTAGCCTCGCTACTGGTGCATAAGTTTCTTCATAATCGAAACCTTTCTTTTGCATAAAACCTCTAGCAACGAGTCTTGCTTTATATCGAATCGGATTTCCATCCTTGTCCTTTTTCACCTTGAATACCCACTTGCTATCGATAGTTTGTGTGTTGTTGTCTGGTCTTTCCACTTCGGTCCAAGTGTTATTGTTTTTCAGGGATTCAATTTCTTCTTCTATAGCTTTTGTCCATAAAATTTACCATTTGGTCCACTCTTCGCTTCACCAAAATCAGTGGGATTTCCATCGATAAAACTTGAAATATTTCACGCTAGATGCTCAGTTTCATAGTCGTTCAAATAATTGGGTTGTTTTCTAGTTCTCATACTTTTCCTTGTGGGAATTTCTTCTTCTTGAGTTTCGGTTTCCTCACTCACTTCGATTTCTCTTTCTGAAACTTTCATATTGTCTTGGGGAGTTTCGATTTCTACGTTTGCTTCAATTTGAACGTTTGAATTTCCATTGTTTTTACCGGAATTGATATGTGTAATATTCTTCCGTTCGTCGAATGCAACGCTTCTGGCGACCGTAATCTTTCTGGTTATTGGATTCCATACACGATATCCGTTATGAGTATATCCAATCATAATTCCTTCTTTTGCCTTTGGTTCAAATTTGCCCTTTTGCTTCTCCTTTGGTATATGACTATAGACGACGCAACCGAATACCCTTAGATTTTTTAAATTTGGTCTGCTCCCATAAAACATTTCTGCCGGTGTTGTATTAATTAAAGCTGCGGTCGGACATCTGTTCAAAATGTAAGTAGCGCATAATACTGCTTCGCTCCACATTTCTTTTGGTAAACTGGAATCCAAAATCAGCGCCCTAGCCTTTTCTAATATTGACCTGTTTAATCGTTCGGCAGTTCCATTCAATTCTGGGTTGTAAGGAATAGTGAATTGTTGCTGAATACCTTTGGCTTTGCAAAAGTCGGTAAACTCTTTTGAACAATACTCTCCACCATTGTCAGAACGTAATTTAACAATCCTGCAATTAAACTGATTTGTTACCATGGCTACATATTTTTTAAAACAATCAAATACCTCTGATTTACTTGTAATAGGGTAAACAATAGAAAAATGTGTATATACATCTATGAATGTTACAATAGTATATTTCATTAGGAGTCCGGAAAGCATGCTTTTTCCGTGCGCGCGTGGCAAATGCAAGCATGCAAGCACGGAAAAAGCATTTCTGGACGTGTAATGAACGATATTTTTTATTATACATCTTTTAAATCGATAACAAAAAACAACAAACTCGCTAACATTTTTATTTTGTGACAGTTATAGAAAATGTGTTTTCATGGTTACTCTCAAATCATTTCAAAGGCGATTTGTTTAATTAGTTTATTTCAGATAAGGTTGACGAAACGTCAAAAAATGTCACAAATTCTCAAAGAAGTTTATCTAAATATTCAAACATCTACGAATTAAAACGCAAAATACTTACTATGAAACATTACAACGCATATAGATTTTCTGAAAATTAGTTTTCTTCCCTGTAAATTTGTATTTTAAAGCACTATTTTGGGTATTTATATTCAGCACACGGAAAGAATCAAAGGGACCGGGAACAGTTTTTCCGTGCGCTAGCCTGGAAAAGGCCAGATACCATTATTTCTAATGCAGGTGTAAATAAGGTGATTTCAATGAAGTATAATAAAAAAAAGTTTTATTATCATAACTAGTAGGCGTAATTGGTCCACAAACATCACTGCAAACTAATTCTAAAGGTCGTTTGATTTTTCTCGGATTATTTGTTTGAAATGGTGACCTTGACAATTTACTTTGAATGCAAATATTACATGTTCAAGTTTTGGTTTTTAATTTCATCCCTTTTAAACTCTAATCCTTCTACCATTTGTGTTAAATTTAACATGCTTTTATAATTTAAATGGCCTAGTCTTTGATGCCAACATTCAAAGATATTTTGTTCACATACATTTGCCTCTGCACTTTTACATACTTTATTTTTCATTTGCCTATTATATGTCAATTATATCTGTCATATGTGATATATACAGCAGTCTATTATGCCCAAGGGCATAATGAGAGGGCATAATGGATTGTCATCTCATTATGCCCTTAAACAGCCTGTCAAATTGATTGATGGAGTTTTATGTAATAAAAAAGATGCAACTTGATTCGTATGAAGCACTGTTGGGCAAACAATAATCATGACATTTGTATATTGAAAATGCATTCTTAGGAACGATGAAAAATAAAATGTTGTATGCACCTCAGGCATTACTCAATATTTAACCCTCGGGCGACTTACAATCCCTCGGGCCGGAGGCCCTTGGGCTCTGTCGCCCTCAGCATAAATATTGCCTTAATGCCCTTGATGCATAAATAACTATTACATTTAATTTCATACAGATTGTTGTTTTTATTTCCAGATGCAATTACCACATTGTTTTTAATTATATCTACACTTTTATTTGCAAAAACTACTTTTAATCCTTGACTTTCAAGTTTTTGTACTGATAACAAATTGTGCCGTAAACCTTCTACGAGTAATACATTCTTTATTTCAGCCCGTTTTCCTGTATTTAAAGTTACATTTATATTTCCTATTTTACTAGCCTTTAAGTTTTCATTTTCTTTTGCTACAGTAATATTTATTGGCTTATCTAATTTATTAATTTGAGAAAAATAGGATTCAGTACATACCATATGGTCGGTGGCCCCTGAGTCTACATACCACATGATGTGATTGACAGGACTAACTTCCATTGCTGCGACAGTTAAAAATGCGGTAGGCTCGTCTTCTTCTTCATCGTGTCCCCGAGCATGTTCCACTTCGTTCGCTTGTTTCTTGTTAAACCAACAGTCTGCTCGCAGATGACCTGGCTTTCGACAGTTGTGACAGATGATTTTCTTTCGGTCCATGCTTCCGTGGTTTTTCTTTTGCGAGTATCCTGCTTTATTTCTGCTGCCGGAGAATGCTGCATTTGACGGTGCACTTCGCTCTTGATAACTGTTATTCTTCTTTAACTCCTGATCAAGTAATTTACTTTTAACGAATTCCAGGGTTAGTTTTTCTGTTTCAACGGTTTCTAGAGCTGTAACTATGTTGTCGTATTCACTCGGTAGTGTTATTAACAAATGACAAACTACGTCAACATCTTCTAATTTAGCACCTACTGATTTTAATTCTCTGACCGTTCCTTCAAATTTTAAGAAGTACTCTTCCAATGTTCCTTTATCGAATTTCATCGTCAAAAGTTTTCTTCTGAGATAGATTTGACTGGCAATACCTTTCCTTTGGAATACTGCTTGCAACGCACTCCACATTTGAAACGCTGAATGTTTATCCTTTATGTATTCTATAGATGTGTATTTGCCACACACTGCACAATGATCGATTTACACTTTTTGTCCTTCTTAAGAAGCCATTCTTCTTTAGAATCTGCATAATCAGTCAGAATGCATTCCTTGACCTCGTGTTGATCAAGTATAATCTCCATCCGAAACTTCCAATTGTCGTAATTTTTGCCATCAAATTGTGTAATTCCATATTTCTCGACCGAGTTACTTCCCATTTTGGTATATTGTCGTTTGAACCGTAAGGTAAGAACGTGTATTAATTTTTTATTCCGTTAAAAAAAACGTGTCCGATTCTTAACCTCAAAAAATATGCAGTTTTTTCAAGCACAAACACTACTGGTCCCATAACCTATTGTTGTAATTGTAATAAATGAATTACACAGTGTACTTTACTTATATTTAGTTAGTGAATATACTTGAACAAAAACATGAATACATAATTTGTAAAAAAACGGTAACGCAGTTGTACTTCATATATATAACCACAGACTATATCAATAACATACAATGTGATACCTAAACTATATACCTACTCTATGGCTACATTCAACACCATCGTATTTAACAGCTGTACCTGCGATCCATTATTAAACCGTCTGCAACACTACAACCAAAAATAAAGTCCGTATGAAGTTAGCAGCTATAGAAGTAGCACAATATGTGTGCCGACGACCTCATTATTAGAATTTGCCAAACAACCACCGAATGAAGACGTGGAAAAAAAGGTAGAATAATTTTTGGTTCGTGCACTTGGCTCAAAGTTAAATACAATGAACAAATTGCGTGTTGCGTGTCTTCATATAAAACGAAGCTATTTGCAATGCTATAAATGCTCTGGGACCGTGTAAAGAACTTAATCCGTTGGTTACATAGAAAACAACAGTATTTTACTTCCACAAGTGACAGATGACCAAAGGACGCTGGAGAAATTCCTAAGCCATGTAATTGCCAGATGTGCTTCTGAGAAACGGTATGCCCCATATAGAAGAACGTGTTGTGAACTATTGTAAATGTAAAGGTAGTGTTTTGGACCAATGCAAGAACTCTTATGCATAAGTAATTTAAACATTGAGTAATTAAATATTCACTCAACGATTTAAGGAAGTAGTCTCGGAAGTAGTAATACATTTTCATGTTGTTGGCCTTTACAAAATTAGTAGGTAAATCTTTCTTTAAAAAATTAAAATTGCTATTGTGTAGGAAGATATAGATACTTTTACAAACAATCGAGTAACGTGACGGTCATTTCTAAACATGGCGACCAAACGACCAAGATCTGGACCTCGTGACCAATGTCTTTTTAGGCTGCACACGTGCCATGAGGCAGCTCACGCATCGTATGAACATGCAGATTTAAAATTAGGCGCCACTATAATGGGATTCGATAAAATCCGTGCCATGTGAACGGGGTTTTACGTTACGAAGCAAAAGGCAACCGTATTCGTTTAGTAACCGTGCCATCAAATCACGTGCGTCGAATATCCATAGAACTTTAGTGATCTGTGTTATTAATTATTAAAAAAATAAAACCTCAGGTATGTACTTAGTTTAAAAGTTTTTTTCAAATCTAAACCACAACAAATAGATAACGTACCCACTAATTTCAGAAGCGGTCAAGTGACTGAGATTACCACTACCAGTGTACAAAGTGTATTGAACGATAAAACCACACTCGATGACGAACGTATCAATACAAACACATTTTACGAATCTCGAAACGACATTTTGTACCTACTCAATGAAAGCTACAAGCGGCATCCTGTTATGCAAATAAGATATCAATAAGTAGGTACACTTGCTAGTGTAAATCTCGCAATGTTATTCAACGCGTTCCTCATTTTAATCTTCATTCACAATGAAGCGCGTTCCGCGCGAATACTTGGCATATTTCACGAACGATCATTCAGTCATCAAATACTAGGCATCAAGCTGCTGTCTGCATTAGCTGCAAATGACCATGACGTTACGATGCTGACGCCAGTTGCTCCAAAAGAAGTGAATTTTACAGTGATCAAATTGAACATGGAAGGCCACGACACTGGTAAGTCGCCCTGTATAAATTTAGAAAATAGTACCGCATTATTTCAGCATCAATGCGCAATCTATATGACACCCATACTTTTACAATATGGCGTAGAATGGTCGGTACCGATGATTCGGGGTTGCTCTGGGCCGAAACGGTTTTAAACGATAGCAATCTAAAGCGTTTGTTAAAATCAAAGCAACAGTTTGATCTGGTACTAATGGAACAGTTAGGCAATCACGCCCTCAAGGGAATCTGCTACCACTACAAAGCGATCTGTGTAATATTAAGCACCATGGGTCCCACCTGGCTAACAAACGAAATGACGAGAAATCCAAACGCTCCATCACACATGCCCGATATGTACGTAAACTACCCTCCTGTAATGGGCTTCTTCCAAAGGCTACATAACGCCTACGCTCAATACTTACAGAAGTTGTACTTTTACACCTACACAATCCGCAAGCACAACGAGATTGTGCAAAAGCACTTCCCGGGTTTTCCCCACATAATGGAAATTTTATACAACGTCTCCTTGGTGTTGGTAAACTCACACGTAAGCACTTCGAATCCGGCCTCAAATCTTCCGAATGTTGTGGAAGTGGGCGGTTTTCATCTTGACCTTCCGAAGAAACTTCCGGAGCACATAGACGCATTTTTAAACGGCGCGGATAATGGCGCAGTTTACTTCAGCATGGGTTCCATTTTGAATGCGCGAGATATGGAGAAACACAAATTGGAGATGATTATCACGGTGCTCGGTCAGTTGAAGCAAAGAGTGCTATGGGTCGGAAATGTAGAAAATCACTCACAGTTACCCGAAAATATTCTGTCCGTAAAATGGGCACCGCAAGTTGACGTGCTAGGTATGATTGTTTGAAACGTACAACGGGGTAACATTAAATATCCCAGCTCATCCCAATATACGCCTTTTCATATCCCATGGAGGTCTTCTAAGTTTGACAGAATCGGTCGCATGCGGAGTGCCCATCCTCGGAATTCCGGTGCACGCGGATCAAGGGTATAATTCCGCGCTCTCTGAGGCTGCCGGTTTTGGCATTTCTCTCCCATATCAATCGCTCATCGAGGAGAAGTTTAAAGACGCGGTCCACCAATTACTTCAAAATCGAAGGTAGGTAATCGGAAGGAAAATTTGAAACATGATTTTGCGTTGCAGCTACACGGAGAATGCGAAACAAAGGTCGCGAGTTTTTCATGATCGACCAATGAAACCTTTGGATTTGGCCGTTTATTGGATACAATACGTGATACGACATAATGGAGCGATGCATTTACGCAGCAGTGCCCTTCATTTGGCGTGGTACCAATATTCTCTCTTAGATGTTTTGTTTGTGGTAGTTCTCTTAGTTGCAGTTATCTGTCTGTTAACTAAAAAGATGTTTAACTTGTGTCTACGGAAACAACTAAAACCAAAGACAAATAAAATAAAGAAAGCGCAATGAAGAAAATAAAAAGGTTTAGTATCGAGTAACTTGAGTTTCAGAGTGACTTGTAATTTTCCCGCACAATCAATTACAAGGACTTGGGTTGATCTGTAGATCAAGTTTGAATCTGTTTTTTGATTTTTGATATTTAGAAACGGATTTTAAATTTTTGTGTCGGTTACCTCGAGATAAATAAAAGAATGTTATTTATTTATTAACGAGCGGTTGTTATTACCCCGCTGGAAGAAAATACGCGGTAGTAGATGAGGACGAGGCAGCTGCGGTGCTCGATGAGGAATGCTATTATCATTGCGAGTTGTACTTTTATATAGCTTCGTAGTTAGTAAGATAAGTTCGAGAACTGCTGACTGGATAACGTTACTTCGCTTATAAATAGCCGCTCATGGCCCAAGATTATTTGAACTGTGGTGTTTTCAGCCGCTGGAATCTGTGGGCGTTGTTTGTGGTGGTCTATCGTGAATGTTAGTTAGGTGCTCCCAACCATTGGTAACTACGCATGAGTTGCGAGACGAGCCGTGATAGATGGTATTCGCTGTGTATGAAGTTGCCGGTCGCTCCAGAATACAGTAGGACTGCGTAACTTTCCGTGTGAAAGAGAAGGACGTAAGAGAGAGCGCATGCACTGTCTCCATGTTACAGAAGCAAATAGAAATTTACATTTGTTTAGGTAACCCATTTCTGGTCTGCGTTATACGAGGGTAGGCTGATAACTAATGCACATGTGCTTGTAGAATCCGAACAAAAACAAAGAGCAAGATCGGAAAACACATTACCTGAAGTAAAATTCCTAACCTTCTAACGTACAACAAGGTCACTGAAACATTCCTCCGATTTTTCTGAAACTTAATAGCTGTCTTCTCTTCATGTCCGAACTGTAATGATACTACCCTTAAGGTCTCTCTTGAGCAGAAGAAAAAAAATCGCAAGTTGCGAGGTTGGGGGTATAAGGAGGATGTGCAATCGGTTCAAACTTCAGGTTTATGATAGATTTTTAGTTATCAGGATACCCTCGTAGTATTCTGTGATCAGGTGAAATTGCACTTGGTGGCTGTTGTATTTATTTCGGAAGCCTAGTGCTGCATTTCCTCACATGAGTATAGGAAATAAGTGTAGAGTCACCACCACGCCGACGCGACTTCTTGATTGTTGTGTTGCGATTGTCCTTTTTGCCTTTTCCGGGGTTTCAGTCGAGGTGTTTAAGCCGGTTGCTCGCAAAGGAGTGTTTGTAGACTCTCCGCTAGGTCTGTTTTCATTTTGCTTCTAGCGCGGGAAGTGCTGGGGGATGTTGATTTCGGCAGCGGCTACCATCTGTATTGGCATCTCGGGTATGATCCTTATGCCGGCAGTACACGCTCGGCGAGGCGACCCGAGCACAAGACACTCCAAGGCGAGGAGCACCCGGGCGCGACACCTTAGACATCGTGCATACTTTCGCGAATAAACCTCGAATCGGCTCTTGTGTCGGCTCGCGCGAGACATATCCGAGCACTTCGAGTAAGTATGAAGAACGTGGTAGTTTGTGTGACGACCATGTACTGGGAACGCCGAGACCTCTGGAGATTATCTTGCACACTCTCGCCAGACCCTCCCACTAGCTCTCCCTTCCTTTGACTCGTGATGCCGGGTTGCTTCTAGACCGACGGCTTAGAGGGCGAGGTTAGGGGAGAACTCCATGTACGGTCTCTCGTTCATCTCAGGTCGAGACAAGTTTATCGGAAATCTTAAGGAGAATACGGTTATGAAGTTCATTCCTGTTTATAAGTACGTTTTTATCCACCCATTTCAGGTGCCTCATCCTTATTTACTAGCTTGTTTCTCTTCCAGCTAGACTATTAAGTGAATAAGAATCGCTTTATTAATAAATCAACGAATACTATGGTTTATTTTTAATTTGTCTCCGAATACAGGAAAAGAATCATATTCCCAAGGATAAAAAAGCAACTGCCGTTGCACTTGGGCATGACAAACTAACTGTACTGGAACTTTGATATGCGGGGAGTTTAATGTAGTGGTGTCAGGTATAGGTCTACGATTGTCATTGCGTACAAACGTCTAATCCCATGTGGCTGTAGTACAGTGATACTGTTTTTTGGTGCCCCTATAACAATGGGGGTGTATCTACCAACACATATATAAATACCCGGTGGTCTGTGCTACTATACAGCCAAGAAAAGTCAATCTCAAGGTATGCTGATTGTTTACGGCAGTGGGGAGGATGTTCAGGCCAGTTGAATGACCTGGGGTGGGAAACTCACATAAGTTCTCTACCCTCAAGGTCAGCACTAGTAAACCAGTCGAACTTCCGCCATCCCCACCTACCTCAGCAGAGCAGCTACCGCAAGGAAAGAAAAATTAATTCAAATAAACCCGGGGCGACTGTGGCTCAACAGAATATTGCCCTCAGCCCTCATCCAAGAACCTTGGATAGTTCATTCTAAGGTATCTCGTCTAGGGCGGACAAATGGAACCGGTTTCTATGACAAACAAAACGACTAACATCAATTTATGGCCCTATAGCCACGATAAAGTGTGCGATGTCTTCGGCCGTACAGTTCACTTGAGTCATCACAGGTAAAATTGAATTGGTTGCGTCAATATATCCGGCTCGTGTGGCGTAGTTGAGTTGAATCTCGGGCTCCAGTGTTAAGGCCTCTGGTTCGAATCCGGGTTCGAGCATGGATAGTTCTAAGTCTATAGTGGGTTGGTTTGCTAGAGAAGCCTTGGTTGAAATCCCGCCCACTCAAAAATAAAGGCTAAATAAATAAATAAACATCTCTATCGGTCTACCACCCAGCAATAGGAGAGGTAGAGCTCGATACTACTCGAGAGTTATCTCTGAACATAGTGCTCTGATGCGAAGAGGTCAAATCATAGAATGATTTCTTTTCAAACAACTATCAAAGAGGTGAGAGGTTCCACCCTGTATATACAACTTACGACGATAGATACATTTTTGAGAGTTGGCAACTATGCAATTTCTAGGTGGGAAAAAGCTGCCTGCGCCATCTAAAAAGCACGAACGGGGGGTTACGTTGGGCATCTTGCCTTGAATGGCGGTCGTGAACGCGTCGCTCCATAAATGTTTGTTGTTATTTTGTGTTATTTAATTCAGGTAGTAATTTTTGCATTTCTTTATATCGTATTTGTGTTTTGTATGCCACATTTTATATTTTTTGTGTGTTTGAATCTTTGTTTTTGAAATTTACTTGGTTTAACCGCAATGCAGAATCACATATGTGATACCGTTATGCTATTATTTGTAATTGTTTACGTTTTTGGTGTAATGCTTGCTTAATTTATGTTTATTGATGTTGATTATTTGGTCTTGTCCCTGAAGTAACATTCATATAAGTTTTGATCATTTTATTTTAATATGTGAAAATTACCGATTCGTTTGATGTACGTACTGACTTGTTGTTTGTTACTAACAATTTTCTCCGCGAATGAAGCAGTCACGGGGGTGGTAAAAACTGTAACCATTTGAAGTACGACACCTAATTTCGTAATAGTTTTCGACATTCAACTGTAGGCTCGAAACCCCGAAACCAGGGGCGGGTTTCCTATATTGCAGGAGCGGGATTATGCTAATCAAAACTCTTCAGTTTAGAATCTATGTGCGATAAATCAGTTACGATTCGTAATTTCCACATATTTCGTTTTTAGTTGAATTTGCCTACAAGGCCATGTAATTTACCATCTTGCTTTTAACAAAAGGACTTTATTGCACCAAAGATGGGTCACATCCTGTGTATTTCACCCTTTCTTAGAATCTTGGTACCTGCTTACCTGACCCATAATTCCCAAAACTTGTTTTTAAGCCAGATGTTACCTCTTGAAGTTTACCTGCTACTTTCTGTGATGTTATAATTTTATGTTACGCATTCACATCATTACAAACAATTAATTTTACAACACAATTTGATATTAATTTGACGGCTGTTTTTTTTATTGGTAAATTCTTTTTTCCCCAACCTATTTCTATTTTTATTCTGTGACACACCATTTTCAAAGTTTATTTTTGCAATGTAATTTATTTGGACTTAAATTTTCGAGCTTTCACAATCTTAATAATTGATTGTTTTATTTTACGTTCCTTCCCTACTGTGAGGTCAAAGCGTTGTCTACAACTAACGTAACGGGGCCCTGCCTTAGATGTTTGATCACGTGCCACTTTTGAAATTTAAGCGGGATCTTGTTTAGTTTTGGAGGGAATAGTCATTCGGGTGGCCATTTTTAAACGTTGCCGAGCTGACTTTATTTCCGTGTTCTTGTAGTGTAAAGTTAGCGCCTGGGGGTTAAATACACTACAGAGATCAATACGCAACTACCGTGCGGGAGAAGAAAAACTGAACTCCTCCATGTAGAATAGGTGTACTGCCATACAGCTAACAGTTACAGAAGGAAGTAGATCTGTAATAGTGTAATATTTGTGGCTTGCACTATTGAATGTTTGACTAGAATTTTTCTTGAGTCTTATAAGATAAGTACCTGTTAGTTGGGTTTTATGACTAGAAGAACATCCTTCGGTGGAAGTCGCAGAAGAAGCACACAAAGCGTTTAAAAAGCCTCGTATTGTCATATAAAATGCCATGGTAGACCTCTTGGCGAGAAGCGTGTGTCCCTGTTTAATCCTTGTTTATATGTAATGATGCCTTTTCGTATATAGAAGTTTAAAGTAAATGTGGCTAAATGGGTTGTGATCCCAATAAAAGCCTACAAAAAAAAAAAAAAGCCTCGTATTGTTGATATACTAATATTTTTATTATTACACCCGAAAAGCGACCGTTAAGGTTGTCGCACACGTGTCCGTTTCGTCCCGGTACGTTACGGCCTGTTAAAAAACGTTCAACATAAAAGACATTGAAGTAAACGTCTCTGCGCACATTAGTCCGTTCCGCCACGTTACGTCGCGACTCATAAGTGTGCGTTAGTGACGGGAACGGACCAGAGGTTTTTTAAGAAGTATTAAGTACTGGGGCAAATTGAAAATAAAATTAATCGGGGGGGGGGGGGTTCCCTGTAACGCCTATCCTTCCTTTGTAAAAATTCTGCCACCGCAGGTCGTGGATCAAACTTACATGTAGCTGTCCCATTTAATGCTATTAAAAGTTTGTAATTTAACGTTTCTTCTAATAAGCTCGATCGCTTGTCTGTTTAAAGCGGGATAGCCGACAAA